GTCCCAGCCACTTAAGTCTAACCCAGCTTCATCGGGTTATACGTCCAGAAACCGAGGGCCCCAGAGGTGACATGACCTGGTCAAAGTCACACAGAGGTAACAGGAAAAATAGGCTAAACCTGGACCACAGAACCAGCCAGAGGTCTTTCCACCACATCACACATCCTGCCTCATCCAGAAAAGAAATCCCTAAGAAAGCACCAGCCAAACAGACAATCTACGGTCCAAGGTGTGCAGAGGAGTGGGGGCCTACTGGCAAGACCACCTCTCGCGCAGTGTGAGCCCCTGCCCAAATCCCCTATTCCCTCGAGGTTAATCTGGAAGGAGGTTCGAATCAACCCCCATCAGTCAGCACTAACAATGCAAAGGGGAGCAAGGCACAGTCGTGAGACTCGCGGAGCGCACGGTCCAGAGAACACATACCCACAATGCTGGGTTTGACGCACGAAAGGTTTGGTCCAGGCTGCACGAAAACACACAAGGCTTTATGAGAAGGTACACTGGAGGCGAACTTTGAAAGTTAAGGAAATTGAATAAGCCAGGCGAAGGGGAGGAAAGAGAGGGAACGAACATTCTGGTCCGCTCTGATGGCATGAAACTGACCGAGGCATCACAGCAGGTATGCCAAGGAACCCGCAAGCCTGTCTGCACCGCTGAGGGCAAAGGTCAAAGCAAGGAGGGCTGCAAGATGTGGCTAAAGAATTGGGCAGGGGTCGGGTTATAAAGGGCCTTACTCTGCCTCCCCACATGGCACTACGGGGGGGATACAAACAAGGGCCCTAACCCAAGCCTGCCCCCAGGGAGCGTCAGCTGGAGGACAGAGCACCGTTCTGTGACTCTACAACACTAAGGAGATGCAACACTGCGGGGCACCAGGAACTGCCTGGCAAACACTAACTGCTCCGTGGCCACCAGCCATTATTGTCACAAGGACGCTTGAGGAGGGGATCATGACTAAGGGGCATTAAGGGCTGTGCCGTATAAATGACCCCCTAACAGCCCTGTATTGGGTGGTGAGTCTGTTCTTCCTCCGTGGAGTTTCCCTGGGCTCATGTCCACACTCAAAGCGTCAGACAATCACGGGGACCACGGACAGGATGGGCAGAGCCACAGGACTCCGCCAGGAGCTCTGACAGCGCTGTGCCCGTGCAGGCAAAGCCCGAGTGTGTGCCAAGTGATGACCACGGGAAGGTGAGCCGCTGAGGGAAGAGGGCAAACCTGGGCGACGCCTGCTGCCGGCAACAGCAGCAGGGCCCTGGGAGGCACGGGGCGCGCAGCGGCTGGGCAGGCCTTGCCAGGGGCCCCAACCCCTCCTCGGTGCCCTGCCCTCCGCACTCACAGCCTCTGGCAGTTCTCCAAGACTCCACTCCAACCCAGAAACTCCAACAAGGGCGCCACTCTCCAAAATGCCTAAGACCCAGCACAGCGCCAAAGCCCAAGGGCGACGAAAGCCTGTCTTCGGTGACACAGAATCCCACGAAGAAAGCCGAGGGGGGCATGTTAGCTGCCTGTGGCCGTCACACCACGACAGAAATCTATCCTGGCCGTCTGGGAGGCTTCAAGTCCAACATCAGGGGGTTGGCAGGGCCACACTCTGTCTAAAATCCTCACAGAAGGATCCTTCCTTGCCTCTTCCTGCTCCTACTGGTTGCCAGGAAGCCTTGGCATTCCCGGGCTCGTGAGCGCACGGCTCCCACGTCTGCCTTCCTCTTCCCTGTTGCCTTCCCTACGTCTTCCCCGTGCGTCCAAACTGCCCTCTTCCGTGAAAGAGACCAGTCGCTGGACGAGGGCTCCCTCTAATCCACTCTGACCCCATTTTAACTTGAGTCCCTCTGCAAAGATGCTACTTTCCCAACAAGGTCACGTTCCCGGGTTCCAGAGAGAGAGGAATCTGGGGGGAGGGGGACACTACTACAACCAATGCAAGAGCAAATGACCAAGAGATAGTCATCAATCCAAAGCGTATTCGCCGTTACGACGCCACACAGCAGCCCCACGTTCTTACAGCTCAGCTGGCCGTTAAGAGTTTGTTCAGACCAAAGCCTCAAGAAAGACCCAGAAGGGACACAGAAGTTCTCCTGCACGTGGCTCAGCTTCCCTGGACTCCACGTCCCAGAGCATCTGCCTCTGTCACTACTGGGACCTCCTATTCTCTGCCATTGCAGAATTTTCACATCATCTCGGACCCTGACATGCTCCAAGCAAGCACAGCCCTGGGGAGGAAAGTAGGATCTCCGGCCGCCTCTGGTGATCGATCCCCTCCCAAGTCCCTGGGCCAGAGCAAACAGTAACTCACTTCTACCAACTCCCAAATAGCTCTAAAAATAAACGTTTCTGACTGAACACAATGAACTACAAAGCTTACGAACAACAGTGCCTATAATACAGCACTTGCAAATGAGCTGTGCTTATAAATGGCTCCACACGCAGTCACTTGAACGCCACACATTCCTCATTTTCAGCACGTCAGACCTTAGTTTCCAAATGGAATAAACCGTGCTCAGAAATCCTGAAATCTGTTTCGTCTATTTTCACCAGCGGCTGATTTTATCCCAAGCATTTTCCACCTCCCGTCTTCGCGTCCCCTAGGGGCCCCGGCCAGGGATCAGTGACACGCCAACCAGGACTTTGGAGCTGTACAGCTTCCAGGGTGCACCCAGGTCTTTGCAAGCACTTCAGTTGTTTGTTTCTGTTTTTGTTTTCATTTTTGTTTAAATTTGCTTCCCGCTGCTGACTCGAGAAAGGAGTTGGTTTTGAGGCCAGAAAGTGGGATACATGGAAATTCACAGGGAGTCCCAAATCCACTCGAGCAAATCCTTGCTCAAGGCAAAAGCAGTCGTCCGCAAGAGAGACGAGAAGGCCACGCAAGTGGGTCAAACCGCCACGCCCCCTCCAGAAACCGACGTCCCACAGAGCACAGCCTGGGGCCACCTTCCGGACTCCACCGAACTCTTCGAAGCACGACCCGAGCCGGTGCCTTTCGACTTGCCCAGGGAGCCCGGCAGTTTCGCAGAAGGGAGCCTGCCAGTCTCGGGACAAACTTGCCGGCGACTCCCCCTCCTCCTCCCTTCAAGCCTCGAAGCTGCTTCGCGCAGCCCCTCTGTCACCTCAGACCTAAGCTCGGCCCCCCACCCCCAGTTCCCCAACGCCCCGCACTTCCCCCGCGGTCCTCCCACAGCCCAGGTCACCCCCGCCCCCAGACCCCGACTCCACCCGCAGCCCAGCCGGCCGACGCGCCCACCTGACCTCTGACCCCTGACCCCGACCCGGCCTCCCCGTCACACCCACCTGCCCGGGACTTTGGTGTTGCTGCGCTTCCAGAACTGCTTCCTGGCCCCGTCGCTGGCCATGGCCCCTCCTCATCCCTCGGACTCACGGCCCCGACACCCGGAATGCAGCCGGCTGACCCCGGCGACCCTTTCCTGTACCCCGGGGGAGCCCCTCAGCTGTCCCGGGACTCCGGAGTCCAGAGCCGAGAGGCTCTTCCGCCTCCCTCCGGAAGTTGTGCCTCCGCGCGTCCGGAAGTCCCGCCCCCTCCCCGGCGCGCGTGACGCACGGCGCGGCCGCTGACGGCATTAAAGGGCGACGCCGGGGAGGAAGCGAGGTGTCGGTGGCGGTGGCGGTGGCGGTGGCGGTGGCGGTGGCTTGTGGGCCTGCGTGTGCTGTCCCGGCGGCGGTCTGGCGCCCGCGCCCGCCTCCAGGCTCCGCTGCTGGACCAGACGGCAAGGGTGGCGCGCCGAGCCCGGCGCAGAAAGATACGCCCAGGGTTTCAGAGTCGGTACGAAGCAAAGAGGGAAAATAAAGTAATCTCAGGTTGATTCCATAGTGAAATAATATTTGGGATATATTGGATCCAGTAAAATATATTGCTGAAATTATTTTCTCGTTTTCTTTTACCTATTTTTTTGTTGTTGTTTTAACGTAGCCACCGGAAAGTGAAATTGCTTGTGCTGCTAGCACTACCTTCCCTTGGCCGTAGACCAAGGAGTCTGGCATTGCAGACTGGCACTGCGCCTGGGGAGCCCCTTAACACGCCTCCGCCAGTTCTCTTGTGAAACACAAATCTGATTATGCTCTCTGATTAAAGTTTGCCTCGCTTGTCGATAATCAACATTGTTTCTGCGCTTGCCAAGCGCAAGATGCTGCACAAGGTGCTCTGTGTGCGTGCTCTCAGCCATGCGCCAACCACCCCCGGGAAAGGCTGCCTCCTTCTGGAAGAGCAGAATGGTTCTCTCCCTCTCGCCACACTGAGGCTTAGACCTGTCTTGGCGACAGCCGGGCTGTTCGCAGCTGCTAGTACCCGGCCTGCAACATTTATCTGTCTCCACAGGTGGCTTGTGAGATCCTGCTGGGTGGGGCCTGTGTCTTCTGCCTCTAGAAATGTTTGTTGGGGGCGCCTGGGTGTCTCAGTTCTTTAAGCGTCCGGCTCTTGACTTCAGCTCAGGTCGTGATCTCATGGTTCATGAGTTCAAGCCCCACATGGGGCTCTGTGCTGACACCTCAGACAGAGCCTGGAGCCTGCTTCGGATCTGTGTCTCCCTCTATCTCTGCCCCTCCCCTGCTCACCCTCTGTCTCTCTCAATCAAAAATAAATAAGCGTTTAAAAATTTTTAATAAAAAAGAAATGTTTGTTGGGTGAATGACAACTGCGGGAACTCTCCAGGGATCCCCTTTAGTCTCCACAGAAACTCTCCAGGAATCTTCTCCCTGGGGCGATCTCAATGGATCTTTGGTGATCCCCTGATGATACAGCCTCAGTGGATTCTCAGGACCCCTGTGCTGCATAGCCTGATGAACCCTCCTGAGATCCTGTCCTTACACGACCTCGGAGAATCTCCAGAGATCTAATAAAGATTCAGTGGATCCTCAGGGGCTCCTTCCTGACACAGCCTCAGGCAGTCTCATGGGATTCTCTCCTGGTGGAGCTCAGGAAGGCCCCAGGGATTTCTCCCTGCTGTACAGCCCTGAGGCCTCAGAAATCCCCCTAGGAGACTGGCTCCTAACAGTATCAGGGGTCCCCTACAAACATCACTGGAGACCTTAGGGGTTTTCAGCGGCTTTTCCGGCTTGTTGCAAGAGTCTGCAAGGTGACAGGGCAAAGATGATGCAAGTAGAATTTACATAGGGAATATGGACAGTAGTTAGCAACTGGTTGGATGCAATTATGACCTCTTAGATCTGTTATCCCTGTAGCTTGAGGATGCTTTCCTGCCTCACATCTCTTAGGAGAAGGAGCCAGACCAATACCAAGGTTGATGAAGGCTTCAAGACCCACTGAGCAAAAGAGTTAGCAGTGCCACGACAGGAACAGGAGAGCAAGAGGTCAGCCTGTTTGCAGCCTAGGTTTATGACTGCTTGAGGATGAACTGGGTTGATGTCACAGAGGTAAGGCCTCAGCCTCAGCCAAGCAGTAGGTTAGAGGACAGATCAGTCTCCAGACAAGGGGATGGGAGGACCAGCCAGGGCAAAGTCACAAGAATAGGTCAGCATCATGAGCAACGAGACAAGCTCCAGAAATGGATTTTTGGGCCAGAGGGCATGTGAAAGGAGCGTCTGGTAGAAGGCCAGGTGTGTAAGCCAAAGTCTAGCCTATGGAGGGGGTAGGAATGGGGTCTCTGCAGGCATCAAAGAGGACAGATGCGTGAACACAGAATGAATGAGTGGAGCTTTTCGTACTCATTTGTGCAGCAAATAATTACTGAGCAGCGAACACGAGAAGCTTACTTTCACTAAGATTTAGGCTGAAAGAAATTAAAACCAAGGACGTGACATTTCACCCCGGACAGATGGGCAAAAACTTAAAACCTGTCGGTGCCCAAATTGGTGAGGACGTGGACTTGCGAGCAGTGCGGAATGAACTCTGATTCGCTGCTGGTGGGAGTGGAAATTGATTCACTAACTCTCGACGGCTATCCAGCAATTTCTAGCGGCTAAGGACGCATATACCCTACAACCCAGCAATTCCAATCTTGGTGTGCACCCCAGAGCAGCTCGCCTATGTGTGCAAAGACAGGAACGTTCATTGTAACTGCTGGGGGGAGGGGGGAATCATAAAATAATCTATAGGGGAATTGATAAATGATACGTAGTTACCCAATAGGATGCTATATGGTAAGAAAATAACTATAAATACATCAACATAAACGAGTTTCACAACATTGAGTGAAAAAACGTTGAACGTGAATGCATGTGGTATTTAACTCCATCTTTTTAAACTAAAAGAATGCTAAACACCAAATTCAGGAGAGTGGTTTCCTTTGGGTATTGGTGGGGACTTTAATCAGTAAGGCATTCAGGGGGCTTCAATGCTATTATCACGCTTTATTTCTTGTGGCGGATGGAGTGTATTCAGCTGTTATATTATTTATGACTCTCCGGATGTCGACGAAATGATTGACAACACGTGATGATTACGGAGCCTCCACTGCTGTGTCCGTGAGCAGACTCTTGGAAAAGCCTGCATTCGTGCAACAATGAATGAGCGGTGAGTGTTCACATGGAGGCCTGGCGGGGTCAGGACAATCGATCAGATCTGTGACTTCTGTTGAAGGTGAAGGGACAAAATGCAAGGAGTGGTTCCAGGTCGAGGGAGCGTCATTGATGCAGCAGGGACACAAGACAAGACCAGAGTGCTGGGTAACAGGCGAGGCTTCGGCGAGGCTCTAGGAGACACAGGTTGGGCTCCCTGAGAGACAGGCCCTTGCATGCAGGCTGCTGCTTGGTGAGGAGAGGCTGACTGGTGAGGGGCCACCTGGCCCTACAGGGACGTCCTGAACTGAGACCAGAGGGTGGAGCCTTTGCACCGTGCACAAGCCAGTCTGCACGGGGCTGCGTCCAGGGAAGGGGTGGCCCGCAGCTGAGGGCAGGTCCCCAGGAGGAACTTCTCTGAGCCATCGGCAGCCTATACTCCCAGCCACGGAGGGAATGAGAGCCCTCGTTCTGAGGGGCGAATCTGGGCAGCACGCCGTAATGCCGACCACGGTCCACCTTGGCGCCCCTCAGACCCACCAGCCGCAGGGGTCACCGTCGGAAGAGCGTCTCCAGGATTCTGGCTGCTCCCTTTTGTGGAAATTTACAAGAGGAAGGTTGATGCAATCTTGGGGCCACAGCAGCTGCTCACCCTGTCCCTCCACTTCCTGCCCCTCTGCCCTCAGCACTGTGGGTTCCCTCCACCGAGTAGCATCTCTCCTGTTCTAGATGAGCTACCTGGTGGACCGGCCCGGACTCTCATCCTAGAGGCTTTAGAACCTCGGTCAACGCACCCTTCTCAGGTCACGGCTGCTGTGCTTGTCCACACACCATCAAAACTGGGCAGAGAGGCAGGCTCAGGTAGGTGCCAGACGTGTTCTCCCCACGCCCGCCCCTTGGCCAGACAGCAGCATCCCTACCTCCTCCAGTGGCCGCGAGGAGACCCCCTCCTTGACCTGCTAGTCTTCTGGCACAAGGAACCGTGACCCAGCATTGAATCAGACTCTTACCACATCCCTTTCTGGAAGCATTCGCCCTCTAGAAGAGGTCGGGATTGTGAGAACCGGACAAACTCCCCTGGAGACAGCATTGGTGGGCAGACCCACTCCTGCCTCCACCCCCTGCTTCCCGCACCCAAGTCTATACTTAGAGGAGACACATGTCAGACGCCCCCACTCACAGGCTATCAACTCTGAGCCGAAAGGCAGCTTTGTTGCTCCGCTGGGCCAGCAGCTTCTGGGCCGTGTGGTGTGTTAGGGGACCGGTGGGTCCCACGGCCACGGGCTCACCGCCCCCACCTCCTTCGCCGTAAGCGGGTCCCCAGCACCAGCACGAGGTTGCACAGAGCCTCCTGTCGACAGGTCAGACGCCACACAGAGAGGACATGTCCGTGAATGGCTGCCCCCTACTGCCTCCACTCACATCCCCCGTGACGACCCTACATGCAGGGGAGGCCAGGCAGTGTGGTCTGCCTGGGCGTCCGTTCCCACCTATCCGAAGCTCTGTTACCGAATGATGGTGGGATGGATATTGGAGGACAGTGGCAGCGACTCCCATCTTACAGAGCGTGCGATCAGCTCCCAGCACTGAAAGCGACAAGTAAAGGCGGGCGGTGTGGGGGGGTGTCAGCCTCCGCCCCCGCAGTGTGGACGTGTGGCATCCATTGCTGCTGGAGGGAGGCTTCGGGGCCGAGTCATGTCACTGCACACCCGTTTCACTGCTCAGGCTGTGCCCTCTGCCTCCTTTCTCTCTCACTCACCGGAGTGCCCCAAGGTCCAAGGCTTACCCTAGATGATGCCTTCGACCAAAAGTAAAGGGACGCTGGCCTAGCAGTGCTTTGAACGTTGCTTCCTGCCCACAAAAAGGCCAGCGGGGAGAGGCTGTTGCAATGTTATAGCGGCTGAGCCACTCAGGGATGTAGGGGATGCTGGGGTGCACGTCCAGGACCCAGGTACC